TTACTGTTTATATTATACCAGTCCTGTTCTTTATGTTGGGTATGTATAATTATTACTGTTTATATTATACCAGTCCTGTTCTTTATGTCGGGTATGTATAATTATTACTGTTTATATTATACCAGTCCTGTTCTTTATGTCGGGTATGTATAATTATTACTGTTTATATTATACCAGTCCTGTTCTTTATGTCGGGTATGTATAATTATTACTGTTTATATTATACCAGTCATGTTCTTTATGTCGGGTATGTATAATTATTACTGTTTATATTATACCAGTCCTGTTCTTCATGTCGGGTATGTATAATTATTACTGTTTATATTATACCAGTCCTGTTCTTTATGTCGGGTATGTAAAATTATTACTGTTTATATTATACCAGTCCTGTTCTTTATGTTGGGTATGTATAATTATTACTGTTTATATTATACCAGTCCTGTTCTTTATGTTGGGTATGTATAATTATTACTGTTTATATTATACCAGTCCTGTTCTTTATGTTAGGTATGTATAATTATTATTGGTTATATTATACCAGTCCTGTTCTTTATGTCGGGTATGTATAATTATTACTGTTTACATTATACCAGTCCCGTTCTTTATGTCGGGTATGTATAAGCATTACTGTTTATATTATACCAGTCCTGTTCTTTATGGAAGGTATGTATAATTATTACTGTTTATATTATACCAGTCCTGTTCTTTATGTTAGGTATGTATAATTATTACTATTTGTATTATACCAGTTCTGTTCTTTATGTCGGGTATGTATAATTATTACTGTTTATATTATACCAGTCCTGTTCTTTATGTCGGGTATGTATAATTATTACTGTTTATATTATACCAGCCCTGTTCTTTATGTTGGGTATGTATAATTATTACTGTTTATATTATACCAGTCATGTTATTTATGTCGGGTATGTATAATTATTACTGTTTATATTATACCAGTCCTGTTCTTCATGTCGGGTATGTATAATTATTACTGTTTATATTATACCAGTCCTGTTCTTTATGGTATGTATGTATAATTATTACTGTTTATATTATACCATTCCTGTTCTTTATGTCGGGTATGTAAAATTATTACTGTTTATATTATACCAGTCCTGTTCTTTATGTCGGGTATGTATAATCATTACTGTTTATATTATACCAGTCCTGTTCTTTATGTTGGGTATGTATAATTATTACTGTTTATATTATACCAGTCCTGTTCTTTATGTTAGGTATGTATAATTATTACTGTTTATATTATACCAGTCCTGTTCTTTATATCGGGTATGTATAATTATTACTGTTTATATTATACCAGTCCTGTTCTTTATGTCGGGTATGTATAATAATTACTGTTTATATTATACCAGTCCTGTTCTTTATGTCGGGTATGTATAATTATTACTATTTATTTATGTCACACATGGTTAACTATTTCTTTCAGAAATAATTCGAAGATAGTAATTTACGGTGAAATCAACAAGTTTGTTCCAATGTCTCAACAACGTATTTTCAAATTCTGGAATGATGCCAATTCGCTGGCTGTCACAATTCGGGGATTTCCCAATGAAAACGCCACGTTTGTGTACTCTGTTGATGGCATGATCAAAACAACGTATAATATAATAGATCAGAAAACACAGTGTGCTACAGTTACATTGTTTGGTAAACCGAACATTCCATCTGGCCTAGATTGTACCTATACCCAACCAACACCCAAATCACGACCTAAACATAAACCATTTGAAAAAATAGACTATTCTATCGGACTTCGGTATGATATTGGTAGTCCTGATGGATTCATAATAAAATTTTAATTATTCTACGAGCTTATCGTATGTGTCTTCTTCGATTCGTGAGTGCCATTCAGTGTTAGAGTTTAGTTCTGATTCTGAGCTTACTTGAACTTCGAGCGGTCATGATTTTATCCCTACAATATCACTCGTATTATAAGTTTTTAACAACAATCAGTAATACACTGGATAAATTTAACAGTATTTCTACAATTCAGTTAAGTATCTTTCAATACAACAAGACAATCTTCACTATCAAATGTAGCTTGGTGTGAAAACACCTGGTATGATAGACTTCTCATTTTGTCCATGAATGTCCACAAATTTCCTATTCGACATCCATGTAGGCTGATGATTTTGCAGAATGAGGCTTATCTGACTCTTTACGATACGAAAAAGGGTCCTAGAATGTCAATGTTCTTTATGTCGGGTATGTATAATTATTACTGTTTATATTATACCAGTCCCGTTCTTTATGTCGGGTATGTATAATTATTACTGTTTATATTATACCAGTCCTGTTCTTTATGTCGGGTATGTATAATCATTACTGTTTATATTATACCAGTCCTGTTCTTTATGTCGGGTATGTATAATTATTACTGTTTATATTATACCAGTCCCGTTCTTTATGTCGGGTATGTATAATCATTACTGGTTATATTATACCAGCCCTGTTCTTTATGGTAGGTATGTATAATTATTACTGTTTATATTATATCAGTCC